TGACGTAGACATGTGGGGGCATGTTTGAATGAGGCGTTTTAGGAGGGTGTGGACGAGTCTTAACTTTTATAAAGAATATCTCTTTGGGTTTGAGACTTTAGTCTTTGCAACTTTAGGGATCTTATATGTTCACAAACAGCTTGTAACACTCCAAAGAGAAAGGAAAACTTGAAATCGCATCATATGACCCCTTTAAAGAAGTTTCTAATGGTCACATGGCCTGCATTCATATTTATTATATTTGTTTCTATTATAAAATTATTAAATCTGTAGTTTCTTAGTTTTTTTTTTTTGACATCTTGTAGATACATATTGTTGCCACTAAGAGATGATTTTTGTCTTCTTCATAAATGTATTAAATCTACTGTATAATTAAAATATTGTACTTAATAATGTTTCTTCCTGTAGTTGAAACCTCAGAAGACATCCAGAAAGCATGGGAAGTGATAAGGGAGATTATGATACGGCTGAACACACTGACAGAGCAGTGGCAAGGGCTGTACCTGACTGTCCACAGTCCCTGTAAATCCAGTAACTGTGACGAATACTTTCAATGGAATGACTGGCAAGAATGGTTAGATGATTCAGGGACAAGCAAGTTCAATGTGTAAGTTTTCGTGTGATTTGCCCTCTTTTTGTGTGTTCTCAACAGAGCATTACATATTCCTTTATTAAAGTATGTTTGACTCATCTTGGTTTTAAATGGATTGAAATTAATTCAGGTGACTGAATACTGTGTTCTGTCTTATAGAGGACTAGAGGAGAAACAAACTTGCCATAATGGACACCAACGAAGGACGGAGTTGCTGTTCCCTAGAAGTAAATGCATTTGTTTACAGAGAAATACAACATGCACTTAGTCTTCTGCCCTTTATAATTATGAAATATTCTGGTTTTCAGCTCCTGATGCTTAGACCTAAGGAGAGGACACATGGAACAAATAATACTAAAACAAATAATACAAATAAAAACTCACTTGACTGGACGGAAAAGGCTGTTAAAACCCCACATCAGACTACAAATGTGTCATTGCTTAAACATTGTGAAACACAACTTGAAGATATGTTTACGTAATGAATTAAATTTGCTCAGAAAATAGCATTATAAATGTTTTCAACATGTTATTACACAAATTGTAATAGCTCCAAATCATTATATTTAGCCTACATCACACTTACTATAGTTAATGTATACTTCTTGATTTAGTATGGAATGGAGGAATCATAACTTTATTTAGGGGAACAAACACAAGATTTGTGTGGTCTACTCTTAGTAAGAAATTGTTCGTATGTTGTCTTGTAGAAACATATTGTCGCCGCTAGGGGGAGATCTTTATACATTTACGTTTTACAGTACATTTTGTTTGAGGACTATTTGTGGAGGGTAAAGTATTGCTGCTGTGGAGTCCTGGCTTGAACATGTAATGAATTGTTCAATAAAGTTATCCAGATACAAAGTTTTATGGGACTTACCAAAGTTTCTGTCTGTCAGTCATGCTTCGAAGTAGCTAGAAAATAAAAAGTAGGCACATATTTACCTCAGCACATAAATATTCTAACAAATCACAGCAAATATGAAGTTTAAAGTCCAAATTATTTGGTTACACTTTATTTTGATGGTCCCCTTTAGACATGCTGTTGACTAGAAGTAACTTTGCAACTACACATCATCTAACAACTAACAGCTAAGGTTATGGTTAGGGTTAAGGTTAATAAGTATGTGCAATGTAGGTGCAAAGTTACCTATATAGAATGTTTGTTGGGGGACCGTAAAAATAAAGTATTAGCATATTAAGCAGACAGTCTACTAACTACTCTAATGACTGGTAGTTGACATGTAGTTACTTATAGTCAACCGAATGTTTAAAGGGGACCATCAAAATAAAGGGTTACCAGTTATTTTTATTGTGTTTTATTTTTTTCCACAAACTAATTTTTTTATCTGAAATTAGCCTCAATGAAGAGTTTTTATTTATTTATTTATTTTTTCATTTTCCATCTGTTCATTTGTGTTCAGATTTTTACTTCATTATAAAGTAGATAGTCATTATCAGGTGATTTTGTTGATGGTGCTTTACAATATACTAATTTCAGTGACAGTTCACTTGGAGCAGTCTGAGGTTAGGAACACACACACACACACACACACACACACACTGGTAGAGACTCTCCATTGACTTCTGTTGTGTTTATATTGCGCTAATGATTTCTATCCCTAAACAGATCCCTCGCACAAACCGTTCTGCTTTGTTACATTTTTATTAAGAAAACATATTTGTATTCATTTTTTCATAATAACCGAATGATCCACACATGTTTTACTATTCTTATGGAGACATTTGGCCCTGACAATATATGAAATACCTGATCAACACAATCTAAATGATCAAAAAAGTCTTTAAAGAGTCTTTATTCTAGAGGATAAAAGTTATATATGCATTCAAGTCTCTCATGTAGCCTACTTGTTTATATACAGTATAGTAGGCTAAATCGAAATTATAGTACTATATTAAAAAAAACGTTGAAAAAAAAATTGTAACATGATAGTTTTTGGCACTTTTACATGTTAGTCTTATTTTGTGATTACGCTGTTTTGAATCCACGTCTATTTAGCGGGTTATCCAAAGCACCCCGCAGACTGACAGACAGACAACAGGTGAATTATAGTAACCTGAGCGTCTAAAAATCGACGACACTCCATCGTTTTCTTTGATATCAGTGGTCCCCAACGAAAGTTTTACGTTCCATAACGCGGAGCATACGCGTGCGCGGGGCTGAGCATGATTTCACTGAGATAGGCAGCGCCTCATACGCGTGGCGCAGTGAGCTCACAGAATAGTTCCTTTGAGTTTGTCAAAGCCACGCGCCCGGCGCGAGAAACCCGAGCAGGGGATTCATGCAGGGGGCGGGGTCTTCCTTTGGGAGCGTGCGGCCCGAAAGTGGGTGGAGGAGTGGCGCACGTGTAGAAAAGGGAGAGCAAGTTGCTTTACCCTCAAATCATTTGCCGAACAGGTGAATTCTTGCGAGCCACGCGAAAGGCACGAGAGCGGCGCATTACTCGCAAAGTCCCTATCCCCGCGACATGGAGGCAACTGTCATCGCTACGACGCAAATGACTCACGATTCGTTTTACCAGCCTTTTTCGGACACCTTCGTACCTCATGCGAAGCAGGACAGGGAGTTTAAAGTGCTGAAGAGACAGCGCTCGAGCAGCCCAGAGCTGCTCAGGTGCAAGAGGAGACTGACCTTCAACGGACTCGGCTATACCATCCCTCAGCAGCAGCCCATGGCGGTGGCCAGACGCAACGAACGCGAAAGAAACCGCGTCAAGCAGGTGAACATGGGCTTCCAGACGCTGCGCCAGCATGTGCCCAACGGAGCGGCGAACAAGAAGATGAGCAAAGTGGAGACGCTGCGCTCGGCGGTGGAGTACATCCGAGCGCTTCAGCAGCTGCTGGACGAGCACGACGCCGTGTCCGCTGTGCTGCAGTGCGGCGTCCCGTCTCCGTCGGTCTCCAACGCGTACTCGGCGGGTTCGGAGTCTCCTCATTCAGCTTATTCCTCTGATGAGGGCAGCTACGAGCATCTCAGCTCTGAGGAGCAAGAGCTGCTGGACTTTACCACATGGTTCGACAGATATGAATCAGGTAGGAGCAGTTTTTAAGCTTTTTTTTCTTCACTTTTACAGACCCAGGGGCCCTCAACTATAAGGGGCCTTCTCTTTAAAAATCTATTTTTCTCTCTAACGTTTTATCATAACATCATAAGGCTGCATAGTTGGAAAGCAAGATAGAAAATAGTTCATTTAAATTCTACATGGATTATCCTCTTTTTGAGACTTTCTTCTTTTCTTATGACTGAATTGCAGTCATTTTTGTATATGCCTGTGACTCATAACTGTTATTATTCTATTACAGGTGCTTCACTGACTACTAAAGATTGGTGCTGAAGAGACGGCACAGGACTGGTCCAGGTCGCTGATACACTGCCTGCTGGTGCCCGTGAAGGACTCGAGTTCATTGATTGAGCACTGGACTCACAGAGGGCATTTTCCAGCAGATGCAACACTCACAAGTTTTTAAATGTTAGAACTGCATGGGACTTGAGGCATGCGAGGATGTCTGTACGGCTGACTTGTGTCTTGTCACCCCGCATTCAACATTTTGCCCTGCTGATGCAATAATGTGTAAATGCAACTGAATGAGTCAGTTTGATCCTTCCATACTGTACAAATAACGAGGTGACCAGTCGTAGTTAAACGAATGAGGAAAAATAGTATCAGGTCTCATATACGGCGTCTGTTAGGGGATACACTAACGTTACTCTAGGAAGCCCACAGGCAACCTGTATATTATAATATTTTGTGCTACATATGCAGCAATGTTTTTGTACTGGATGAATTACTTTCGTATCAAAGTGTGCACTTGTGTGTTTTTATACAAACTTGTGTATATGCAATTTTTTATGAAGAGAAACCCTATATGTAAAATAAAAACTTTATTTATTCATGTAATTGTCTTGTGTATGCTTAAAATCAACCAGCTAATATCAAATATTCTTTTATAAAAACCTACGTTTGACAATTAAGACTCAGAATTTCACTTTACACAAATGTAGGTAATTAAGTACAGTATACAGTCATGGCCAAAAGTTTTGGCAGTGACATACATTTTGTGTATTGCAAAGTTTGCTGTTTAAGCTGTTGTGGTGTTCATTCACATTGTTTCTAGATTATTGTGTAGAGTGATCAGATGCATTTGAAATAATTGCTAAAAGCTTCACTGGCCAAAAAATGAACTTTTCACAAAAAAAAAACAAATTTCACTGTTTTTTGATCCTGACACAAAATGACCAGCTAACATTAATTGACTAATCATATCAGCAGCACATGTAAAAGTGTGAATGAGTACTAGTCAGGTGAAATCACTATCATACTAATTAGATTGTAAGAGCAGACTGATTGCTATAAAAGGAGGGAAGAAGCACTTCCAATCATTGTGTTCTTGTTAGCAATGGTTACCTCCAAAGAAACACGTGCAGCCATCATCGCTTTGCATCAAAATGGCCTCACATGCAAGGAAATTGCTACAAAGAATATTGCACCTGAAAGAACCATTTACCGGATCATCAAGAACTTCAAGGAGAGAGGTTAGACTGCAGTGAAGAAGTCTTCAGGACATCCCAGAGTGTCCAGCAAG